TAAAGCATGTGGAGTGTGTGAATGGCATGTGTGGGGGAGAAGCTGCTTTTGGTTTGGTGATACATTATTTGAAAATGCTTCTAATGCCATTTTTCTTTCACTGTGGTTTTTGCTACAGGCCTGCTACAGAACTTTTTGAGGCATACAGTATGACAGGAATGACCTTTAATCCTCCTGTTGCATCAGTAACACCCAGAAGAAAGGTACCATCTCGGCTCTCTGTGTCCATTTCCAACCATGATACACCAATATAACCCATATCTGCTGGCTCACTATGCTGTGCCTGGGGATTAGCACACTTAGTTTGGCTTTCTGGTTTCTGTACTGTCTGTGTCAAGTATTTCTTTTTAACTAGCATAACATAGCACTGACCATAGAGAAAGACAGAAAGCTGTATGAATAGTGCCAGCTCCCACAGCATCAGTTAATGTAGCAAAATGAATGTGGACGCTATTATTTTACTTACCTTTTGCACTTTGCAGTGACCTAGTGCAGATTTCTTGTCCCTTTTCTGTAATGATGACCTAATGTTTGTTCAAAAAGCAGTAATAAAAAGCCAGCTCTTTCCTCAGTGTGGGTACATTGGCAGGACATCTGGATTTCCAGAGCTTTTGATTCAGTACACAGAAGGATACTGATCTCCATTAGTGTCACTTTATAGCTTTAAAGTGTAAATTTGAAGGGAACTAAGAGCTAAGGTATGAAGAGCAGAAATGGGTGAACACTTTTTACATCCTCAGTTCTGGATCTGTTCCAGATGCCAACCTCCCCTGAATGTCCAGTGAGTAGTGTGTCCTTTAAAAAGTGATACTTTTCTTTCTTCCTAAAATGAAAACCTTATAACCTTGTTAGTGCCTCCAATTTTAACTCAGTAGTGTCAGTTAAAGCCTTTAGAGCCCTTTTTTTTTTTTTTTTTTCATTTTAGAGAAGCAACTTCTGGAAATGTACTTACTTATTCTGTCCTTTTACAAAGACTTTTTGATGTGTCTGTCCTGCTAGGGTGCTACATTAGTAGCTCTGACAGATCAAGACTGGAAAGAGCAGACAGGAGAGAGATTTGTGTAGTGCTTGAATAAGGAAATGCACAAGCATTTATATGGCAGAAACAAAGGAAGAGGAAGAGAGAGAACAAACTGTCTGTAGGTGGTTATAATGGACATAACTGGGAAGATGACCTTGGGATCTTGCCTAGTTTCTGCCTGTTTGGCTCATTTAACAAGTTTTGGCAGTATCATCTGTTTTACTCTACCTGTCCTGCATTTTCCTCTGTGTGCCATCTGTCTCTTAT